CAACACCTTCCTACAAGTTATGATTTGAAATGCAAACAAAATAACAGTAAAATCTACAAACCTGTAAGTACTCAGTGCATGATTTTCTCTAGGGACTGAGCAGAAAACCATTCTGCACATATGTCTATGTCTAACTTTAATCTTTTTTTTAACTCAATTTCTGACCTCTCTGTGTCTCCTCTTTGTTATTATTCTCCTGTTTTCTCAACCTTCCTACAAGTTATGATTTGAAATGCAAACAAAATAACAGTAAAATCTACAAACCTGTAAGTACTCAGTGCATGATTTTCTCTAGGGACTGAGCAGAAAACCATTCTGCACATATGTCTATGTCTAATTCTTTAATCTTTTTCTTTCTATTGGCACAAAGTGATGTTCTTTCTTTATGTAAATATTAGTAATAATTTTCGTTCAATTACCTCTTAATCCATACACATAGATATTGCCAATTTCACCATAAATTCAAAATGCATTTTTTATTTTGACAAGATAAATGAACATGTGGACTTAATAGATATCTATGTAGTGGTCCACCCCACAAAACCAGAATGTACACTCTTTTCGGCTGCACATGGATCATTCTCCAAAATAGACCACATATTAGCTCATAGAACAGGTTTAAATAAATGCAATGGGACTCTACTGAGCAAGCAATGGGTCACTGAGTAAATGAAAGAATAAATTGTCAGTTTTTACAAATAAATGATAATGGAATGCAACTTACAGGAATATATGGGGCACAATGAATGGAGTTCTACATGGAAAATTCATAGCCATGAATGCTCACAGTAGGAAAACAAAGCAAGCTCAAATAGGCAACCTAATGATGACTGCTAGGCTCCTAGAAAAAGAGGAGCAATATAAACCCAAAGCTCATACAAGGTAGGAAATTATGAAGATCAGAGCAGAAATTAATGCAATGGAGACTCAGAAAATGACATAAAAATCAATAAAGACTTGATTTTTCAAAAGAATAAATAAATAAAATCGCTAAGTAAAGAAATCGAGCAAAACATTTTAGGAAATGCCAAGAAATGGATTAAGGTTAATAGTAAAAAGAAATACAGTGACTGGTATTAAGCTAAAATTGTGAAATTATAAAGATATTACTGGGATGATTTGGAAGATAACGGATGGCCCATTGAACATGACAAATAAAAAGAGGGGTGAACAAAAGAACTGCCTGAGCAGAGTGTGCCAGATCCTGAGCACTGCTTTCCACGGGGGTCTTTGGCTGTTCACAGTCTTTACCTGTCATCTGGCATAGAAAAAAGAAGAGACAGTGTGCAAAATGGCAAAGGGAGACTAAATTTTTGTTCTCTTCTAAACTAGCCTATCTCTTCTAATTATAAACTCCTACCCTTTAAATACATAAACAAGGAATTCTAGCATTAGGAAGTTTCTAAAGCCTATTATTTGGAAATTTTATCCTCTGACATGAGTTCAGTTAGTCAACTCTTACCAATCTGCCCAAACCACTTCAAGGCCATTCTCACTTCCGAGAAATGTGTCCTATGAAGAATAGACTTACCCCTGCAGATGAGAGCAAGAAAGCTGTCTCTTCCTTGGGCCAATTAAATAGCGATCTATATCTTGCTCTTAAGTTGTTAATAGTTTAAGAACACTAAGGGAATTTTTAAATTATTTGTTTGACAAGATGAGATTCCATAATACTTTTTCTTGATCCAAGAATTTTACCTGATATCTTTTTCAACATATTAAGGTATATTATTTGACTTTTGACTAATGAGTTCTTCATGATTATATTGTAGTGCAGTCCAGTTATTGGTAGAGTTCCTCCCTTTGGGGGCTGGGGATTTAGCTCAGTGGTTTGGTGGCCTGCCTTGCAAGCGCAAGGACCAGAGTTCAATCCCCGGTACCACAAAAAAAATAAAAAAAAAAAAAAAAAAAAAAAAAAAAATTCCTCCCTTTGGAAAGAGACAAAAAGTGAGAAACTTACAAATTCCAGGAACACTTCTAAAGAGTTGAATTGCATCTGTATTGTAGTATAGATTGCCTTATTATTAATTTCCTGGACGGTCATGTAGCATCTGGGCCCTGAGAGACAGGTGGGATGGGAGGCCACATTCTGGCACAGGACCAGGGTTGACACCAGCAGCAGGATGATGGGCTCTGCTTAAACAAAACCACAACATCAGGCATGATCTACTTGGTGAGGTCATCACAAGCCTGCCTGCCTGGGGAAGCCTTGTCTATCTCTGCTGCCTCCAAGGCATGATTTGGTGCTGTAAGAGCTCAGATAAGGAAGAATCAACAGCTTCTACTGTGTCCCTGTGGATGAGGTATATTTTCACAGTCTGAGAAGTGGGTGACTTCCTGCATTTTCATTTTACTCCCAGAAATGCCTCTGTAATTCACAAACACCTGGAAATTAAATTGACACTGACTAAAGTCATTCGTAGGAAAATGGATACATACTGAGGCCATACTCTTATGTAAAATAATTAAGACATGTAAATACCAAATAGTTTCTCTGGTGTGAAAAACTAAAAGTGTAAATAAGATCCAAATTGTATAACTGATAATGTGAAACAGGAAGAAAATGGCTAAAGGTGTAGGGAAAGTGTGAAGGGTAGGGAAGGAAATAAAGGAAAAGAAAAAATATGAGAAGAGGAAAAAATGGAAGCAAAGTCTTTGAGGAAGGGGGAGGGGTGAAGGGAGGGCAGGGAAATGGGGGAAAAATGAGAACCTACATCTGTAATGCAAAGCTACAAGATCCCAATGATTAATGCAGGTGTACTGTATACTTAAAAAGTACCAATAAACTCAATGAAAAAAATTCACATTGACTCAAGACTTTTAAAGCAGTATTTTAAAATAGTTTAATATCTGTGAAATTCCGCAACCTATCAGCAGTCAGAATTTCTAGGAATTTTTCATTTTGTAATTCATTCACGGATATGAGCATCTTAAACACTTAATTGAGAATACTACATTTTACCTGTATGTTTTCTCTTAGTGCTTAATAAGCATAAATACAGAACTGCTTGGTTGCTGACATTGGCTATGTGGAGAATCCTTCCAGGAAAACTGATGGCATGGGCTGGATCTAACTCACTATAATAATTCCATGCATCTGCCTCATGGTTTGCCAAATCCTTTAGATATTTTGCTAAATATGGACTTTATGATAACCCTGGCAGGCAGATACAACTTTCATAATAATTATCAAACTCATTGAAATGAAAGAATTAGAGAAGTTAAATGATTTTTTCAGGGTGGTATTCTTGTATGTGTGTATGTAAGGGATATGGATCACCTTGCTGTGGTCTTTGCTCTTCACTTCCTCACATCCTGCTCAACTGTGGGCTCTCAGTCTGCATCTGTGCAGCAGGGACCACATCGTGATAAGGGGAACAGAGTTTGCGTAGGTCACTGTCACTCTAGTGAAGAATAACACTTTGCATTTTGTAGAAGGATAAAAGCTGCTCTCAGAAGCTATAAAATATCCATGTCCTTGGCATTATAAAACTCCATCTTTAAAGCCTTTGTCGGTGATTACAGGTGGATTCACTGATTTGATCTTTCAGTAGATGGAGAGATACAAGCCCCTACCTTAGCAATAATTTTCACTCTTGATTGCAAAGAAACAGCTTCAAGATTTCACATTAAAATCACCTTTTACCTTCAGTGACACCTCCAGAAGAATTTTTGATATAAAAATGTAATAATCAGAAAACCGTTTTTCCCAGAAACTTTAATAAAAGTAGTTGAAAATCTTCAGGGTAAAACTAGGTAACTATTAAAAATATATATGGAAAATAAATAAAACATACCTATCATAGCTAATCATACCTGAAATTATTTATCACAGAATGTAACTAAATAATACTTTAGTTATAAAATTTAAGTAATGTAATATGAATTATTTCATATGATTTCACTTTGCCAAATTACTTATGAATCTATAAAATTACTTCACATAAATTACATTAATACAATACTGTTAAATAGATATTTTCCGTACATGTGGAAATGCAATGTGCTTTGTAGACTGACAAATTGAGATTGGCACTCTTGGACATGCAAAACTCAGTAATTGTATTTTAACTGTAACCACATTTATCTAAACATCATTGGATTGATGTCTAGGACATAAAAATACAAATATTTTTGCTGTTTATACCATGCAAAATTTACAGTAGTTATAATTTATATTTTATCCAAAAGTCTATAAGGAGAAAAGGTGATTAACTATAGTGTGCTTATCTTTCAAAGATTAATTTGGATTGAAAGAAACTAAGAACATAGTATAAGATGTACATCTGCTGTTATTTTCCACATTATGACTTCAGAATTATAATTACGATGTTTAATCAAGTTGGCCAAATCAGGTAACAGAGCAGTGTAGCAGAAAACGTTAACTTTGACGTTTGGGGTTATGACAAAAAGGACCTATTGGCTCATGTCATGTTGAATATAAACTTGAAAACTCTGTATTAACAATAACCACATATTAACCAGTAAAGGAGTGTGGATGAAACCAACAACTCCCTGAGTTGCTGCACGTACCTCTCCCCTTGATGTCCATGGTGGTGAACATGACAGGAAGCTCACTTCACCAGAGGACTGGCCGTCCCACGTGCAAGGTCAGATGTTGGCTTCTAAACCTTTGACAAATTCATTAATACATTTTTAAAAATTGATTTTATCAGTACATTTTAAGTATACCATATAATAACAATCATCACTGAAATTCTGTACCTTTTCATAATCCATCTTGGTTCTCATTTTTCCCCATTCCTCTGCCCTCCCTTCACCCCCTCCACCCCTTCCTATCTAAAAAGCACATTTAATCAGACATTCTCCTTCCTGTTCCAGTTTCTATTTTCAGCATCATTTACTCCTACAACTTCATACCATAAATCTTACTTTATTTGTTATTCATTTTTATGAACCTTTACCGGCTACAAAGGGATTTGATTGAAGAAATGACAGAAATTATTACAGCGAGTTTTGGAGACCAGTGTGGGTTGGAGAATCTGTAAAATTATGAAGTCATGTACTTTACAGTTTACTGGTTTTCACTGGAGTTTCTTAAATAGAGAGCAATGTATTTCACTCCAGAAATAGTCACTTGTGTTATCAATTATAAAATTTCTCATTTTAAAATGATAAGTGAATAATGTTTCAAAGTATATGAACTAAGTAGTACAAAATATAAAATAAAGATACTAAGTAGAATTTTACACTTTGTGGTGTAAATTGCTTGGAGGTCTGTCTTTTGTATTTCATTATATATTCTATCTGGTCCTCTTTAAAATAAAATATCTGGGCCTTCCAGCTACCAGCGGACAGGAGCTGCCTAGGTCACTGTGGTGGTCGCTCCCCCACCCGGGCCTCCCAGCCACCAGCAGGAGCAGAAGCCCTAACTCAATGATGAATATAACTATTGTCTATCTAAAATGTACCAACAAACTTTAAAAAATAAAATAAAATATCTGTGTTTTACCTTGTTAAATAATGTGTATGTTCAATTTTTCTTACTTTGATCTTTAACATATATATAAAATTGTGTACTATTATAGCCAGGTTACAGATTAAGAAAGAGGCTTGGATAATTATATTTTAATGTACACAAGTAGTTATTCTCTGGTCAAATTACACAAGAAAGATCATTGCATCAAAGGAAATTAGGATGGACTTGAAGAAGACGGCAGTAAATCATTTCACACTCAGCACCATGTGTAAGGTGTGCAAACACAACATCAACCTTAGAAAATTTGTTCTTAGGATGGACTGTACTAATTTCTCAACCCAAACATGCACACATAAACATATATAGTCACATATACCTATTACACAGTATGAGAAATCAAAACTGTAGCTAATTACTTGCTCCATTCTCAAGGACAGAGATGGATACACTGGAATAACTTTATAATCAATCTCTGACCAATATTATTCTGGTGTGAGGTGAAAAAAAAAACATCTTTTTTGGACTGAAAGCTTCTATACATCACTTAGAAATACTTAAATGATATGATGATATTAATATGATTCAGTTGTTTATGATTTTATCTATTCTCTGTGCTCTAAAGCAACTTGTGACTTTTAATTTCACTCTGAATAGATCAATGAAGTAAAAATAATCACTTCCTATGACCTTTCACTTTTACATAGTTTTTAGCACAATATGTGAGCTTTAGCAATAATCTGAAAAAAATCTTAAGCAAACTCACATCTATGAACACCAATATTCTAATTGCTTTATTTTAATTTCAGCTAGATTTTAAATGATACATATTAAGTGTAGTGATTCAGAGGCTCTGTAAATCCAGAACCTTGATCAGCATTCAAAACACTTTTGCTACATATCTGCTTTGTTTGTGGGACAATGAAACTCTGAATTATAAAGAATGTAAATCTGGGTGGAGAAAAATTAATTATTGCTGGTATTCATCTCTCCTCTGATAAAATTTAGAATAAGAAAATCTGCCATAAACTCTAACATTGGCAACTAATCTTAAAATGTAAAGGTGTTGCAATTTCTGTAGAAAGGCAGGATAAGAGATCTATGAAGACCTGAGCTGTGTGTGTTCACTGGAGGACAACTGATTTATTGAACTTGAAGGAGGTGAGTTCCTCAGTGAAATTTGTTGTGTGCTTCCTTGTTTCTATGCCGTACATATTTCCTGTGAGTGGGGTATGCAATATCTTAACAATACAAATACATACTTTATGTTGCAAGTCATAAATGTCATGTGTTCTATAACTTAGATCACCATTTTTAGCTTAATAATTGCATGTGCCCTTTCTATTCATCAATCTATTTCATTAAATTTTATATTTACAATATAGAAACTCACTAAGAATTTAAAAACTCCATTTGTTTACCATTTTTAAAATGAGTGCTTGTGAATAAACTGAGAGCTGATGACTGGTTTCTGTTACATAGCTGGTGAACTGGAAGAATGATTTTAGAGTTCTCTTGCTACTCTTAGTACATACAAATGTTAAGCAAATTTGTCATTTTTATTAAAAGGCTGTAATTTTTGTTTTTGTTTTTTAGTTGTTTTTTGTTTTTGGTACAGGGGATTAAACTCAGGTCCTTGCACTGGAAAGGCAGGCCACCGAACCGCTGAGCTAAATCCCTGGCCCCCAAAGGCTGTAATTTTTAACATTAAGTGACACTGAATTGATTTTCATTCCCAGTTAGGGAACAAGCATAGATTTAATTTATTTTCATTTTGTTGCTTATTACTATCTTGGGAAGTGTTTTCATTTTTCTCTGTAATTTATGACAGTACACATACATAAACAGAATCAAATAGTTTGAAATTTATCTGCACTAAAATAGAGTGGAGGAAGCTACAAAAGAAATTAAAACAAAAAATTCAGAATACGTGCAAGGATACTTTAACTTAATTGGGTAGTGAGTTATTAATGAAGTGAAATTTTCAGATAATTAAAATTATATTGCTTATGGATTTTAAAAATTCCAAATATTGAATATTGAAGGTCTTCTATAGGAAGTATAAATATATGTGTTTTCAATATAATCTTTCATAAAATATAAGGGGCACATTAGAGAAAGGATTAATTACTTTACATTAATTCAATGCATATTAAGGCAAAATTTCCTTCTCAAATGCTCACATTCATTTGTGATTTTGGTAGGAGTACAGAAATCTCCAATTTCGGTAAATACAGTGGCAGTGTTGGGCAAGTCTACAGGATCAGAGCCCTTAGCATGTCAGGGTGCCATTTGTCCTGATCTCCCCTGGGAAGCAAGTCGATATCTTGACAGTTCATAAGCTATACTTGGATGGACACACTCCTGACCCTGCCTTCCTCCACTGCTAACTGTTTTTGTATATTGAGTGAATTCAGATTGAGAAGTAGGACGTTTGACACAAAAATTGCTGCCACAAATTCAAACTTGCATACATTTTACCTTCCAATACATTTCCCTCCTAGAATCTTTCTAAAATACTTTCGCTGTGACATAAAAATTTATGTTTTTTTTTCCTTATTTACTCACTAAATATAATGCCTTATTAGTGAAATGTATACTTTTACAGTTAGGTGTTATATACCATGAGAAAAGTTTAGTAAAGACATTTTTTATGTTATTATAGAAGAAGAAAGTGGACATTTAAATGAGAGTTCATTTCTTTTTGAAATTATCTACATACAGAAACAATTAAAATAAAAAATAATGGTCTGTTTAACAGAGGAAATGAAAAGTTTGAAGGTAATAAAGCAGACTTCTGAAGATCACAGGATTTGGCTCATGTTCACTGTAATAATCTTAATAAAATTCAAGCTTTAAAAAAGCGAATAAAAATGCAAATATAGCCACAGTTGGAAGTAAGTATGATCACACTAATTTTTTTCAGGAAATCAATGAACATAGTCTAGAAAAATTATTTTACAATTGCATTGATTGGGTTCTTTATAAAAGCAGAATCAAGAGAACACATATTAATTTCCCATTATATATGTATGTGTATGTGTATATACAAATTCATATATTCATATATTCATGCAAGGAGATATTTCCCATCAGCTTACAAGTTCAGAGCCAGGAGAATCTAAAGAGGTTATCTATGTGATGGAGACCCATAAAATCCAGTAGTGTTCTGCACAGAATTTATAATTCAGAAAACAAGAGGGATTAAAAAGCAAAACTAGTCCATTATCAAAAGCCTGCAACCTACCTGGGGAGTCGTTGGTACAAGGCTGAGTAGGGTAGCTGAAGAAAGAGGATCTTGAGTGCACAACTACACATATGTTCTTTCATCCCCTTTTATTCTAACTGACTTACAATCCCATTGGCATATGACATCCACAGTCACCGTAAGTCCTCCCAGGTCAGGTGGGTGGGCTATATACCAATCATATCTGAAATATGTGACATGCAGATTCAAATGTAGGCTTTACTCATCTGCCAGATATTGCTTAATGTGGGCAAGTAGACATGTCATGACTAATGTTATATTTTGTTCTTTTTGTTTGCTAACATGTAAGAATAATTATAAACTTTTTTCCCTAAGCATCTGGGCAAGTTCTCATGCTGCCTGGACTGGTTGTTGTAGCTTCCTGTTAACCTCAATAACAGGCTATGATAACCGCAGACATCCAGAGGGTCCCCCTGAGTTTGCAACACACTCAACATTTCCTCCTATGAGGTGCACTAGTCTAAATTCTCCTCAATAGCCTGGATCAAGCACCACCATTAGCACTATAAATTCCTATGCAGCCTTGTGACTGAGATGCCTGAGGAGCCCAGAATGACCAGAAATTCTCATATTGCATTTCAATGAATTCATTGTTTCTCTATGTAGAAATTTTTCCATTTGTAAAACACATTTCTATTTTAGTAGAGTATAAGGTCACAGAAACAGAAACCAAATGTATCACTAATGGGTCCTTCAGTGGTAACAGTGGTCAAAAGCACCACTTCCATTTTCACTGATTGATTCCTGGGCCCATGAATCTTAGCCATGAGAGAAGTAGTTCCAGATATTGGATACTGATTAAGAGCTTATACACAACTGTGTGTAACTTTGCCCAGCCTTGTAAGTTATTATTGTTTAGGAACACTGATTGCATCTTGAAGACTCTTTCATCATTGTATCAATCCACCTGCATCTGGAAGGGGATG